CAACTTTCTATTTGTCTTTTGCTACAAGTGAGATGAAATCAAGGACAATGTTAATGAGGACGGTAACGTCTGCTGCTTAGTTCGAGAGATCTCATTAAATATTCATTGTCTCAAGATCATTTGTGTCATCGTTAATGATCCTCAGGCCTTTTGTGTTGCACCATTGTCACAGTATAGCTTCCTTTCAACACTGAATTTCATCACTAGTACCTCGTCCACTCAGACATCGATGCCCTCTAACCACGGCCAGGAAAGGCAATCATTAAGTTACTGTTTTAAAAAAACTGAAGCTTTAAGGACAAGCTCGCTTTAGCACTCAGTGGTGATGTTAAATTTAGGAGTGATTTGGTTATACAATAATGTCAGTGAATGTTCTCCATCTGATATTTGATATCCAAACAAATATGGCTGTGTGTGTGTGTGTGCACTGTAATAGCACTGTACTCCTGCCAAGGTGGAAGGCGACTGGGTGATTGTGATGATTGAGATATGTAAAGAACAAAAAGATGGAAATGAAGAGAATTCTCCCGTCATTAGTTACACTGTGACTTTCATGGTCCTCTGAAGGACTGATCCTAATATTTTTCCTGAAACTTAGTTTCTTCATATTGATCAGTTTACCATAACAGGGATTTTAATATATCTGAGTCTGTCCCAGTAACATTTGTTGTATACTGTGGGGATGGATCAATCTTGTGTTACACTTTCTCCCGTCTGTCTTTTATCTGATTTCATTTTGTTCTGATAGCTGACGCCTAAGTGACCAGAGTTTTTTCAGTCCGAATTTCAGTCAGGGAAACATTTCTTCCAAGGAACTATGAGCAAAAGATTTTGGGAATGTCAGACTTCCTCCAAACATGCTCTTCATTAATACAGTTCTTCAGCAAACTCAGAGCAGTCACAAAAGCCTAAGAACAAACCAGAAAACTAAATATTTGTTCCTTCTCTAATGTGATGCAAGAGCCCATCATACCAGAATGTATTAATCTAATGTTATATTATGAATGAGATGGATCACAGATGCTGGCAGCACAGTTTTTATTTACTTATGTATTATGGTAGAGCTACAATAAGCTTTCAGACATTTCAGTAATTCTGTAATTTTATAAAATAATCCCGTTATGAAGTTCAGTCTCTAGTTTGGTGCCGATAATGGACCTTCAACGAAATCCCCAAATTAAATGAAGTAAGAAAATTCCAGCATGTAGCCTCATAGTTAGTCTCAGCAAAATGTTGCTAAATGTAATGAACTTTTTTTCAGTCATGGTTATACCGTCTCCCTCTCCATTCAAGTCAGAGTACATGTGCATTTTAAAGCATGTCGTCTTTCCAAATGAAAAGAACGCTTTCAGACACCATGTGAGTTTCAGGTTTTACCTTGATGAGCTGAAGGTGAGTGAGCTGCCTTACAGAGTAGTCTGGCAGGTAGACATTCCCCCCTCCATTCAGCTGGCTCATACTTCCCCCATAGAGCATCGACTCAGAGCGGTCCAAACCGCTGCTACGAGAGGGCGATCTGTGGACTGCAAAGGACGATATGATATCAAATATGTATCTTTTAACAAGGACGGAAAAATGGTAGAGGAGTGTCAGTCAAATCACAAAAGATCTCAGGGATGTCACTACAGCTGAAAGGAGTGCTGCATTCAAGTGCATGGCTGTTAAAAGACTCACATTACACCCTGTTATATCTAATATTTAATACTGTTAGACCTCCTTACCACACAAATCTTACAATAATATTTAAATATTTAAATGCTACAACTGAAGATTTTTGAAGAGTTTCAGAGCATTTTCACAAATACACTATGTGTTTGCACAATTTCACTCAAGCAGTATATTATGCATGTTTAGGGAACTAATGTTCATTCACTACACAGTGTTTGCCTCATGGTGGAGTCACTAGGGGACACATGCAAATGGCAGATCTCACATTTTACATTTAACCTGATATTTAAATACACCACGTTCCAAATTATTATGCAAATTATATTTTTCTCTGATTTTCCTAAATAGTTGGTTCAAATGACAGTCAGCATAATTTTCAAATGTCAAATGTTACTCAACAAAACTGCCAATAAAAACAGTATGTTTTTCAAAAATAAAAAAGTTAAAATGCACTGTTCCAAATTATTACGCTCACAGAGTTTCAAAACATTTTATAGGTTGTAGAGAAGTGAAAATGGTCATTTGTTGAATTTGCAGCAGTAGTAGATCAATTTTACTGAAAAGCTATTTCAATCAAAAACATCTTAACAGGTCAAGTTATATATGAACATAGAGGCCCTTATTTCATAGCAGTTTTACAATTCTTGCATCCATGGAACTTGTGAATTTTCAGAAAGTTTCTACTTGAATGTCTTTGCAGGATGTCAGAATAGCCTCGCAGAGCTGCTGTTTGGATCTGAACTGCCTCCCACCCTCATATATATATTTTTTTTTTGCTTGAGAATGCTCCAAAGGTTCTCAATAGGATTGAGGCCAGGGAAGATGGGGACCACACCATGAGTTTCTCTCTGAGGTATTCCTTGCAGGACATGGTGCATTGTCTTGCATGAAGATGGTTTTGTTGCAGAAGGAACAGTTCTTCTCTTTTTACCATGGAAGAAAGTGGTCAGTCAGAAAGTCCACATACTTTGCAGGGATCATTTTCACACCTTCAGGGACCCTAAAACATCAAAACATGACTCCACCATCTTCTTGCTGACATTGCAGCCTTGTTGAGACATGGTGGCTGTCCACCAACCATCCACCACTGCATCCATCTGGACCATCCAGGGTTGCAATGCACTCATCAGGGAACATGACTGTTTGAAAATTAGTCTTCTTGTAGTTCTGGGCCGGCTGCAGGCATTTCTGCTTGTCAGCATTGGTTAGGGCTGGCCGAATAGAAAGTTTATGCACAACTGCGAGTCTCTGCAGGATCCTACACCTTGATGTTGGCAGGGCTCCAGAGGCACCAGCAGCTTCATATATCCGTCTGCTGCTTTGCTTTGGCCTTTTAGCAGCTGCTCTCTTAATCTCATGTATTTGTCTGGCAGAAACCTTCATCATTGTGCCTTTATCTGAACGAACCTGTGTGTGCTCTGATTCAGCCACAAATCTCTTAACATTATAGTGATCACGCTTAAGTTTTCGTGAAATATCAAAGGTTTTCATTACGTGTCCAAGGCATTCAACTATTGCATGCTTTTCAGCAGCAGAGAGATAATTTTTCCTTCCTATATTGCTTGAAAATGGTGGTCTGCTTAATAATGTGGAACATCCTTCTTTAGTAGTTTTTCTTTAATTGGGCTCACCTGGCAAACTAATGATCACAGGTGTCCGAGACTGATTTCAGTGATACAAAGAGCCCTGAGACACAATTCCATCCATGGGTTTAATTGAAAAACAACTTATTTAATCTTTATGACACAATTTGCATAATAATTTGGAACATGGTGTATGTTTTATTCATTTAAAATGAAACAAAAATCTGTGCCTTTAACTTTATCTGCCTAACAAGCATATATATAACTGCACAATTGAAAGCATTCTATCATAATCTTTAATGAATAAACTGTGAATTATCACTATACTCTTCAAAGCAGACAAATACAATAAAATACAGATTTTCTTATTATCAGTCTTCTTGTTGCTTTTTAAAAAACATTCATCAGCAAACTACTTGAAAACATGCCAAGATGTTTAGAGTTTTAACTAGAACGAAATCTTTCAAATTTGCTTTGATTTTAAAATCCTCTCACTGATCAAGGAAAGGTTTGTATATTTGTATAATATCTGGCGACTCATTTGTTTATATCTGATAGAAAGTGCGTTACAGTCTAGGGTGGAGGTTTTAAAGCTTCTGTATACTCTTTTTTGGTGTGTCATGATGAATTTGCAGTACCATATATAATGAGTAAGATGTGCAGCTTCTTTTATTGTTTTCTTTGGATCTGGTGTGAATCTGTATTCACTTTGATGCACTTTATAAATGGTGAAGCTGTTTCATAGAGTATGTGGAGTTCTGGCTTCATGCTCGTTGGTTTATAAACTCATTTTTAGTTTTTCTGTGAATTTGTGTTGATTTTTGCTTCTATCATTTCGACAGCAGATACTAAAGGTTAATAATCAGGCCACAAACAGTGCTTAACAAGTTTATTAAATCACCTGTGATACAAAAAACAAA